AGCAATAATCTACTTTCAGTAAATAACCAACTTTCCGAGTAGTTATTTCCCCATTTTGATGCAATTTCTGTTTTCTGATAATCTACTTAAAAATTAGGTAATATTTCACAAGTCGATAATCTACTTAAGAAAAGTCGATAATCTACTTTCATGAAAAAGAAAAATCTACTTTCAGGAAGTAGATAACCTTTCGGAAAGTAGATTATTTCCATTTTATGATGCAATTTCCTGTTTTCTATGATAATCTACTTCGCAAAATTAGGTAATATTTCACAAAAGTCGATAATACTTCCAGAAAAGTCGATAATCTACTTTCATGATGAAAATCTACTTTAAATGAATAATAACTTTCGAAGTAGTTATTTCTATTTTATGATGCGAATTTCCTGTTTTCATGATAATCTTTCGCAAAATTTGTAATATCAAAGTCGATAATCTACTGAAAAGTCGATAATTAACTAAGGAAAAAGTGAAAAATCTACTTTCAGGAAAGTAGATAAACCAACTTCTGGAAGTAGATTATTACATTTTATGATGCGAATTTCTGTTTTTATGATAATCTACTGCAAAATTAGTAATATCAAAGTCGATAATTCAAGAAATCACAATTACAAGCCCATTAGAAAGTAGATAACCAACTTCCGATAGATATTTCATTTATGATGCATTCCTGTTTCTATGATAAATTCTTCGCAAAATTAGTAATATTTCAAAAAGTCGATAATCTACTAAGTCGATAATCTATGAAAATAGAAAATCTACTAGAGTAGATAAAAAATCTCCGGAAAGAGATTATCTTCTATTATGATGCGAATTTCCTGTTTCTATGATAATTCACTTCGCAAAATTAGTAATATTTCACAAAAGTCGATAATCTACTTCCAAAAAGTCGATATCTACTTTCGCGAAAAAAAAAAATCTACTTTGAAAGTAGATAACCAACTTTCAGTAGATTATTGTCATTTATGATACGAATTTCCTGTTTTCTATGATAATCTATCCCAATAACCCAATATTTCATAAAAGTCAATAATCTACTAAGAAAAGTCGATAATCTACCGCAAAATAGAAAATCTACTAGATAACCAACTTTCCGGAAAGAGGATTTCCCATTTTATGATACGAATTCCTGTTTCTATGATAATCTACTTCAAAATTAGTAATATTTCACAAAGTCATAATCTACTTCCAAGAAATGATAATCCACTATGAAAAGCAGAAAAATCATTTCGAAAGGTAATGAATACCTCACATAAAGCTGTTGCTGAATACCACCCAGCGATTTCCAGTACATCTTTCGTGGTCTACGTCAACCACCGCCCTCACATGACGAGAGGTCAACTATTAAGCCACGCCTACCTGCTAATAAAAGACCTGATCTGGTGACATTTCGACCTACACCAACCAGCAGCAACAACACCTCCCTGCCTACAGGTCTCGCTCGCCGGCGAGCATGGCGACCCACAAGCTGGTCCTCCTCTGAGCTCCATTAACCAGTCTCTACACAACACTTAACCATAAAGCCTTCCCACAATTGCTGCACGAACTCCTCCATACAATATGTACAGAGAGCACATTAGAGCTCTCCATCCCATCCTGAGAACCACAAATTTACAAATGGTCACCCGGGGTCACCATTTGTGACGTGATGTGGACATTACTGTGCCTTTCACCCCACTGCTCCAGTCAGTCAGAACACCGAGATAACAGAGCCGTGTCACAGAGTCGAAACAAGCGTTTGTTGTTGTGTTGTTGTTAGATTTTCGGACCATAGTCCGGACAGGCCTGACCCAGGCGTCTTTGGTGGTTCCGCTGGCACTTGGAATAGCATAACAGATTTGGGATGAGGTT